TGATACACACACTCACTCTGATAGACACACACACTGATACACACACTCACTCTGATAGACACACAGATAAACACTCTTACAGACACACACATTGATACACACACTCACTCTGATAGACACACACAATGATAAACACACACACATACTGATGAACCACACACAGTAACACACTGATAAACACACAGACACACCGATGGGCTGAAATCCAGACAGCTCTCACACACGATAGCTCCAGAGGTTTACCGAGCAAGTGGAAGGATCCGTCACGAGTTCTCCGAGACCCATGTTCATGTGGACACACGGGCCCCCGGTTCTCTATCGCCTGAGAGTGGGGTGTCCCTCCGTCCGTCAGCCCTTCTGTCAGTGACCCCAGTGTCAGTGACCTCTCAGTGGGTTTACGTGTACAAAGGCCACGGCTGTCAGACCTCCTCGCATACCGAGTCAGACAGAGGTCCCCCCGAGGACGCGGGGCGGGCAGTGACGGCTCAGGAGCTCCCGGGGACCTGTCAAACCCGGGGCTCAAGGGAACCCCCCGGCAGCGCCTCGTAAGCCTGTCCCGCAGCCCGGCTGCCTCACCCGGCACAACACAGAGCACACACCAAGCCAGCCAGGACCGCTGACGACTCACGGACTTTACCGGTCGCCATTCCCGGAACATTATCAGCCACGACGGGAACGGCAGAGCACCCCCCTCCGGGGAACACGCGTCCTTCTTTTTTTGCTAGAAAGGTCAAGTGTTGTGTCACTGAAGAGAGATTTTGACGCCTGGCTCTGTCCCCCGAGTCATTCCCCTTTGCGGGAGGGGGCCAGGTCACCCCCGGGAGGGGGCGGCAGGTGGATGCGGACCGCACGAGGAAGTGTGGGTTCCAGCGCTACTAAATCACAGAGCCGGCACGCGGAGCGCAGAGCAGCGGGGGGGGGCACGAGGACGTGCGGGACGGCAGGTCTCTTACCTTCGTGGGACTGCGGGCGAGCGGGCTGTCCGGTCCACAGCAGCGCCAGGCACACTGCGAGCACCTGCCGGCAGAGCGCCATCCGCCCGGACTGGACTGGACTGGACTGCAGCGGAGTGGCCGGGCCGGGCGGGTCAGGGGTGCATGTCGAGCCGGAACAGACGCTGTGTCCCGACTCCCTCTTCCCCTCTCCCGTCCCTTCTAGATCCCAGGCTCGCAAGGTGCGTTCCCAGACCGAATTCCAAGAGTTATCCGCTTTTAGCTTCCTGGTGTATTCTTTGTTCCCCGTAGTATCTATGTGCCCGTCTCCAGGTGTGCCTGCCTCGCAGCCTGAGAGAACAGCGGAAAACCCTCAATCCACCTGAACTGGTTTCGGTTCCAGACTGACGGCGGCAGGCAGGTTCTCTCACGTGTGTCACCTGGTAACCCCAGACTGACAGGGGTGAGAAACAGCAGCAGCAGCAGCAACAACAACAACAGATCCGAGTGCGGGCAGTAATAGTAACGACGGACTTCCCGGTGACTCCTCGGCGCGGCGGTCCGAGGCGATCCGCCACAAGCTGATCCAGAAAGTTGTGAAGCGCGACACCCCCGCTCCACTCCCTTAGTATAAAACAGCGCAGCCGGGGCGCTGATTGGACGGGCCGCTGCCCCGAGCCGCCAATCGGCACCAGCGTCGTGGGAGCGCTGCGAATCGTGGCTGAGGCGGCGGGCAGGGTCCGTCGGGCTGTGAGGCTACAAAACAAAGGTGTAGGCGAATTAAAATATATATATATATGTCACAGGGAGTAATCAAATGAAGTGTCTTTTTGTTGTTGTTTTTTTTTTGGAAATGACGGCAAAAGTCATCACTCTCGGGTTCCCTTGATTCAAGATTCAAGATTAGTATTTGCCAGATACAACAAGTGGATTGGAACGCTTACTCGTTCAGCTGTGGAGGAAAAACCAATAGGCAGAAATGACAAACACGGACAATACATTGAGAAAATAGACGTTATAATACAGCCAAGGCAGGACATAGCGCAAACAGCGCAGTACCTTAAAGTGCAGGTGCTACTTTGAGGTGTTTAAGATGCGGACTGCTTGGGGGGGAGGAAACTGTTTTTTGAATATATTGGTCAGTGTTCTGATACTGCGATACCTCCTACCGGAACCCAGGGGTGAAAACAGACCGTGGCCAGGGTGAACTGGGTGCCGAAGTATAGCTCGAGCCCGGCTGCGGTCGAGATATATCCGGTCCCAGGGATTTTCTGCGCGGACCTCTCAGCCCTCTGTATGGCTTTTCTGTCCTGTACTGTGGCTCCACCGTACCACACCGCAATACCACCGGCCAGGACACTCTGAACCGTATTAGGGTAGAAATTGGTGAGGGTAGTCTTGCTCATCCCCCACTCCCGGAACTGTTTCGGGACGTGAAGGCGCTGGTGCGCTTTAGTGAGGATGGCAGCAAAAGAGCAAAATGACCTCTCCGACCAGGTCAGTGGCCGAGAGTGGGATGTCTCTGCGCCCGCCGGTCCCGCCAGCCAGACGCCGCTCCGCTCAAACACACCGGGTCGCAGTGATACCCTTATTTTCAGGGTAATAGACCCGGGCCCGTAGCGCCTGCTCCGAAAGGGCAGAGCTTAGGGACCCTCCGGGGGGCGATGGGCACTTTGAGTGAAGTTGCGTGTTTCCACCAATGGGACATCTTTCTGTCGTGCTGCTTTTATGTGAGGGGATATTTATATCGACTCGGAGGGGCCGCTGGTCTCCGTGAGAGAACCATTGTGCCTTTCTCCCGCTAGCCGCGACTTAATCACCCCGGCTTTGATGGGGACAGATTGTCCGGCAACAACGGCCGCATTGTCTCGGCGCGCCGGGCCTGTGATCTGCAGCCGGACGCGCCTCTCGTCAGGGAGAGAGGAGACTCGGCTCTGCTCTCATCCGCCTTCCTTCCTGCAGGCCGGGTTGAGAAAAATCCCTATTTCGGTAAAAGTCGGGTGTAAAAGGCAACAGGTCTCTGGATGGAAGGAGCTCCTTTATAACCGGGGAATTTCTGGCGCATCTTAGAAACCCGGTAAAGCGCATATTAGGGTCTTTAACGGGTCCTGGGCGTTAGGGAATCTTCCGGGTTTTATTTCAAACTACTCAAATATTTAAATAAATCTGCTGTTGGCTTAATTAGCCCAAATGTCGACGACCTGTAGGTTGAAGACAGACGCCTACAGATAGTGAAGAGCCCAGTTACAGGGCTGCACAGTCAGAGCCCTCTAAACCCCAGATTCGTGGTCAAAGCCTTCTCAAAAGAGACGCTCAGCAAACAAGGCCCTATCAGAACAGGCTGTTCAAAGTGTCTGTGTGTTTAAAAGGGTCAGACCCACCCTGTAAGAAAACTGCAGGCAATGGAGTGAGGCCACAGCTCAGGTGTGCACTCGGATTCGAATTCCAAGGGTGTTCTGGGCCTGGCCCTTGCATTGCTGTTGGATGCTGGGAAGGCAATAACTAGCAAAACATTCACAGCCACTCACAACAGAACATTCCTGTTACTGTGGAGAGGCTCTCTGTTCCTCCTCCAGTGGGACTGGGAGCTGTTCTGATTCTGGCAGGGGTGGGAATTCAGGGATTAGGATTGTTGTTTGTGGGGAAGAATATTTGTCTAATCTCAGAATACTACCTGTTTCACATTCAGTGAGCTGAGCACTCTCACTCTGTGTCACACCCTGCTAGCTGTGCACTCACTCTCTGTCTCACTCTGCTAGCTGTGGACTCCCTGCTAGCTGTGCACTCACTCTGTCTCACTCTGCTAGCTGTTCACTCACTCTCTGTCCCACTCTCTCAGTCTGCTAGCTGTGCACTTCTTTGTCTCACAGTCTGCTAGCTATGCACTGCTCTGTCTCACTCTCTGCTAGCCGTGCACTCCTGTCTCACTCTGCTAGCTGTGGACTCCCTGCTAGCTGTGCACTCACTGTCTCACTCTCTGTCTGCTAGCTGTGCACTCCGTTGTCTCACTCTCAGTCTGCTAGCTATGCACTCCTGTCTCACTCTCTGCTAGCCGTGCACTCACTCTGTCTCACTCTCTGCTAGCTGTACACTCACTCTGTCTCACTCTCTGTCTCTCTCTGCTAGTTGTGCACTCACTTTGTCTCACTCTCTGTCTCACTCTGTATGTACAGGAATCTGGACTCAGACGGACTAAACAATGCGGAACAGAGATCATCAACACGCCCCTCCTCGCTGTTCCCGAGGCGCACAAACAGGACTCATGTTTTTCATAGCGGGGAGTGTTGCTCTCATTGTTTCGCGTGTTTCTAAGCCGCAGAACTGGTTCAAAACTCGAAATTCCGGCAGGTCCGACAGCCTGTAGTAATGATTGAAGCGTCGTGAAAAACAGGCCCCGAATGGGCCGCACTGATTTACCTGCTCAAAGCTGTAATTTTCAGATCACCGAATTCGCCAGATCGAGATAATTATAAGGGAAAGACAAAACAGATTCAGTAAGTCAGCGCTCAAACACACACAAAGGCCCACACAATGGAAGCTGCAGAGAAACGGTGGAGAACAGGGAACAGAATACACCATTCAAGACTGATGCCAGCTCACTCGCTCGGGGTGCTACCCCTACTGAAGAACTGACTAATTTTCAGAGACCTTACAAGCGACCCTGCCGGCGATTTCCGAGCGCAGAGAAGACGTTTAATCAAGGATGCCCTCTTGTGGTCTCCATTAGGTACTGCACATAACTAGCACTGGAAACGCTGTAGTCGATTAACCTAGCTTGATACACTGTGCTTGTCTTATTTCACGTGACCTTCAACTGTTTGTTAAACTTTTTATTTAACAATTAAAGAATTTACAAATACAACATGTACAATACAAAGTAGTGCAAGTTCATTTTATATAATAACTCATTAAACTTATTAACTAATTACTTAATTAACTATTAATTAACCAATCAATGAATTAATTATATTCTTATGTAATATTATTTCTATTAATTTATATAACGTTATGCCAGCATTGATGGGAGGTTACAGTACATATAATCAGCAAAAATAAAACGCTGTTTCATCTTCTTTCACAGAACAAAATCAAGTCACAATGGGACCTCAGCCCAATCCAGGCCTGCCAGTATTAGCCAAACCTTTCTGCTTCTAACCTAAAAGAAAAGATGATCTTTTCCATTATATTTCCCTTATAGAATTATCTCCTTCACAGCACTGTTGGGAGTTCTTTAATAAACCACTTTCTAGTGATAGTGTTCTTACTAGCAGCTAAAATAATTCCTAGTATATATCCATCCTTTAATTCCATGTAGTCAGAAGTAAAAGTACCAAAATACATAACAGATAATTCAAAGGGTATTTGTAGATTTACTATATTAGTAAGCACAAAATACAGTATATGAATTTCCAATATTGTTGTTTTTTCATGAATGACCAGAATGTGTTTGAATAAGTTGCAACTTGTTCTCCACTTAACATCCAACATCGTGAATAGCTTCCTTTTTGTTTTGCTGGAATTTTAAGACTATTAAAAAACCGAATCTAATGTTTTCAACAGCAATTTCTCCAAACTTGTAAACTGGTGGAGCTTAGTTGAAATCTGTTCTTCCACTGTTCTGCGGAAACTGTCTTATCATTTTCTTTTTCCCCACTATATTTTAATATAATTAATTTAATCGTTTTTCATACCTTCAATGTTATTATAGTTTTGAGATTATTTTCTTCTGGTTGCTTTGCTTGTACAAAGCTATAAAATGATCAAGCAGTTTACTACTTTGCTCTGTATTTGGTTGTTATACCCAACTATCTATTTAGTGCCTAATTTGGAAGTATCTGTAGAACTCTTATTTCTAGGCTATAAATCTATAATCTATCACTTGTTTCTTTGCTTTAAATTCTAGGCTATTTATCTAGGTGATAAATCTTCTACGTTTTTCAGGTGATTCTGTTTCATCAAGGTACATATTGCTGTGATGCCTCTAATAGTCCAGATTTTAGAATGTTATCAGATTTTCCAGTACAGAAATCAGAATAATAACATATCCATCTTAATACTTTAATATCTGTCTCCAAGTTATGTGTTCTTATTGTTTTAAACAATTTTAATTGGTATGACTATCTAGGGTATAGCTGTTTTATATATAGCTTCTGCCAGGGACAGGGCCGTCGCCAGAGCAATTCGAATGGGTGGGCATTGAGTTTGAGCACCAGTCTGAGTAACATGACTTCGACATGACAGAAAAAGAATTGAAATGTTAGATTAGTTACATAAATATTTTTAAATAATTAGTTTTTGGGGAGCAGACACACCGCACCCCTCACACAGTAACACTGGCGGAGCGGTGGCTCTGTGGCTCAGGATCTGCGCCTGTGGCTGGAAGGTTGGCGGTTTGTATCCCGTGGCTGGCAGAGGAATCCTACTCTGTTGGGCCCCTGAACAACTGCTCCAGGGTGCTGTACATTGGCTGACTCTGCGGTCTGACCCCAAGCTTCTCTCCCTGTCTGTGTCTCATGGAGAGCAAGCTGGAGTATGCGAAAAGACAAATTCCTAATGCAAGAAATTGTATGTGGCCAATAAAGTGATCTTATCTTATCCCAGCAGGACCTCCAGGTGAGGAGACATGTGACTGGCTGGTCTGCATTCCCTAGTTGTTACCAGCAGAGGGAAGCAGAAACCATGAGTTTCTTTAGAGTGGTCAAATTTTTCAGTTTTCTTACTCTATAACATAATAATAACATCACTTTAACATCACTCTGCACTCATTGCTCTTTTTCCTGCTGTGCGTCCACATTTTAACCCAGCCTCAGCCGGTCAAGACCCTGGTTACTTGTCTTAGGGACTGAGTCTGAGCAGCTGGGGCCTCCGTCCACACCAGGAAGCGCATGGGAAGAGGAAGCAGAGGGAAGAAGGGCAGTGGGAAGAGAATTGGCAAGACGGAAGGAAAATTGGAAGAGGGAGGAGCACCAGACTGAGGTCTCACCTGGAGTCCAGTGAAGGACAGGTGTCCCGTGCAGGCTGAGGTCTCACCTGG